ACTAACCTGAGCCGGACTGAACAAGGAGTGTTCAAGGCTGCAGAACCAATCCTAGTTGAAATTATGCACGAAAACGTCAACACTACAACGTCATTTTTAGCGCATTTTCTCATTTATGGAAAAAATGCACTAATGTGCTCGCCATGTCCGTCCGTCTGTCCGTCCGTGACTTCACGTTTTCGTCAACGAGAAAATGCTCTCTCTGTCACTCACTGCAGTGAGTACTGAGTTATATTTTTTGATAAAGCAACCGGCATGTACATTTGTCCTCTTGTCCTCCCTAAACTAAGATACTGAGTGAACATTAGACATCACAGCGTAGTTTTTCAATAGTCAACTTCGTACAGCGATAATTGCTCATGAACTGTGTAATATAAACAGAAATATCTTTTTGAAAAATGACGATTCCTGAAACTAAGAGTGTGGAAAGGAAATCGCCATGGCGACTGCGCGTTGTCTCCCACAAGGAATACGACTAAATGCGCAACGAGCACGAACGTTCAGGAAGGATTTTCAAGAATAGTAACGCGTGAAAAGTTGAACGCAAATGCCACACAGTTTTTGTAAATTCTGCATCCCAAACACAAACGGCATTGAGAAAGTTCCGCAATCCATAGAAACAATTTATGATCAATCAATTTAAACGATTCAGCCATCAAGCACTTCATTGGTGGCTTAAGATAAAAAGGCTACGCCAAAATAGACATGAATAATTTTGAATGCCAAAAAGAGCGATCTAGCACTAGACCACTTGATTTATATTTTCAACGTCGAACTTATTTCAAGTAACTACATTCATGCAGTGTTAAAACGCGATTCCCGAGCTATTCATTATTTTATGAACCAAACGGATACGTCAGGATGCCTTTTTTGTAGACACTGCGTCAGGGATACAATTTTCAACACTAGAATTTTATTCATGAAGTGTCATTTGTAACCTGAAACCAAATTGCAAAGTTGCAACTCTGAAAAATATTAAGTTGAGTACAGGGCATATAATATGAATAATGCGAACATATGAGAGACATACCTTGAAATAATGATGCATGTTATTGCAACTCTGGAGTCAGTCAATATAACTATTTACGCAAGAAATTTTTTTTCCACGTGCTGGAGCCAACTTCTTGGCCAAATTTTGTTCTAGCTGAGAACACTTAGAGCTTGCGCCGCTAATGTCCAAAAGCAATTTGCAACATCTTTACCTAAAAGGTACGAGCGATCATGCGAAGGGGTGTACAGGCCGCAGGCGTGAGCAGGTAAAATGATAAAAACTAAATGACCATTACTATCCTATCTGGCTTCCGGATGTGGGTGATAAACAGGACCAGAAAACAATAATAAATAATTCATAACATTAGTTCATCAATAAAACATCCCAAAAGTAAATAAATTTACGTAATATTTGCATCATAAATAGTATGCATATTACTTATTCGAGACCAATTATGTTTAGGTATTTAAAATAATGCGAGTAAAAGGCTGCACGGCTCATGTATTTAGTTCCACGAATCAATGGTGAATGGAACAACAAACATTGCTCTTCTAATCAAGAGACCCTCAAGCTACACAGGTTGATGTAGTGAATGAAATAAGACAGAAAGGAACCGATATTCTATTCTATTCGATATGAATCTTGTTCGGACAAAATTCCATTCAAATAGCAACGCTATCATCAATTCATACTCGGTGTGTCAACGCGTTATCTGACATTTATTCATAATGCAACCAAGGTGACGTTCTGCTACAAAACTTTGCCAAGAACGCAGTGCCGAAGCATGGTGTTGCGTGCTGGAGTGTCTCTATAGAGGCAATGGAGCCTCAAGGCATGAAAAGGTTGCCTATACAGTCCAGAATGATGAAATTCTTGCCACACGCACCTCGGCGTGACGACATAGAGCAGCAATGCAGAGACTAGGCAGTTATAATGACCGTCAACTGTAATGAGTGTCATGCAAATAAGGCGTGCTGCGGTGCTGAAGTCAATGCCCTAATTATCGTGCCGAGACATTGTATTCTATTCAAGGGAGGCCGATGCATTATAATACGTGCAATGAACTTAACCGGTTAACCAGAATGTAAACGCCCCTTACCAAGGGCAAGATAACGTCACGCCAACACGAGACCTGAAAGAGGGAACAAACATTACGCAGCTTGCATGGAAAATGATCGATGACTCATCAGAACTCTCACATGTACAGCGATCGCAAGAACTACTCTGGCGACCAAACGAAATACATGAGGATTTTTATATAATTTCGTAATTTTGTATGAAGTATTTACTTGCTGAACAGATGCAAATTTTATGATACATTACCTAGCACGAGAGTAGAAATCTCATCCCCCGCACTGGTAAGATTAGCAGTAAAACGCGAATCAAAATTACGCACGAATATTAATTTCAATGCATTATTTGTTTTTTATTGCGATCAATTACTATTTCGAAACAAAAAATAAGGGAAAGAAAACGTTACGTGATATTTTTGAACTATTTACTTCATTTATTGTTGTGAGCAACCGCCCCTCCAATGTCACTGTAGGGCGTTGACAAGGAAATTGTCGCGACGCAATTATGTCATCGTCATCAGAGTGGCGGCAGGCAGTAATGGTCTCGCTTAATGCGAATAGTAACAGCAAGATATGATAAGCAATGCTGGTGAGAAATACCCAGCACAGGTTATCAAACAAGGAACCAATCGCGTCGCACTAACTCACGACACTCCATTTGCTCGCATTATTAATAATTTAAACAGAGCAAAACCCACCTATCAAAGAGAATACGTTAACGTAAATTTGTTTCCTGGCGCACGTTGACGGATAGTAATGAACGGGAAATCCAGTTTATCTTGAAATTTATGGTCACTCTCACGGTTGACATAATAAGCTTAAGCTATGAGTCGAGTGAACACAAAGCTTAAATTAGCTCCACCATAATTATTTACCATCAATAATTTGTTTTTTGAACACTTGATAACAAACAAATGTTGTACACAAAGTCAAGTGACACCCGAAAACGCTAATGCATGTATAATTTTTTATTCCGAAAAAATGCACGCTCATTTCGAGCATGTTCGTTCTGGACTCGTTCATTCCGAACCCGATCCTACCGAAGTACTCCACTTATTATCGGAATTGTGTACATATGTACATAGATTGAAATTATCAGGGTCGGACAATTCTTCAGATGACGTTGGTAGATCGAAGGGCATATTTCCGGAAGAAGTTTTAGTTTATTAACGACTTTTAAAATGCAACATTCATTTTCAAGTTACAAGAAGCATTGAATATTGAAATTTTGGTGGAAATAAGTACATATTATACGCAAATAGAATACTACATTAAAATTTTTTTAGCTAGAAAAATCACTCTGAAACCATCTCAAAGTTCAGGCAAATCCGGTAGTCAGGAGAAAGATAGCTGGCGTCCAGTCCGCAGAGACGAGGGTGGTCAGCCATCGCCGGTAGAGCGATGTCAGGTCACTGCTTGATGACAATGCTGGTGGGTTCCTTCAGCACAATGCGTGTGACGGTCTGGTTGTGAGCTTGTCTCATGTGGTTCACTAGCCCTCCGGGTTGAAGGTACTAACTAATGAGACAGAGGCTCGGTGTCCTTGTTGTTGATCCAATTTGTCCGATGTAGTCCAAATGATGAAGTCTACAACCTTTTTTAAGCAAAATTTCTAGACTACACCGGCCTCTCGGATAATTCCCGCGTTTTTGCAAGGGCCGTTATTGCGTTGAGTTCAGAGTTTACGTTGTTGTAACGGAGCCGGTTGAATTCATCGACAATCTTGAGATGATGTTGCTTGTTGGTAACCTGGTCTGGTTGCGAGCTTGTCTCAGGCGGAAGGAAAAAATGCGAAGTTTCGCGACTTCGAGATCTCGAGATCGTCGATGAATTCTGCGGGCTTCGTGACACCCTTCAAAACAGCGTCAAAACCCGGAATATACGCAACAATTGTCCCTGCAAAGAAGCGAGAGTTCTCCAAGAGACAGGTCTATTCTATAAATTTTGCTTCAAAGAAGGTTGTAGACTTCTTCATTATTTGGATTACATTTGAGTTTTTGGACATTGTTGAACTGCCAATGTCACAATTGTGACATTGAACTGCCGTTTCTCCTGCCACCTGAGGCAAGCTCACAACCAGATCAGGTCTCAAAGCATTACAATCAAGCAACTTTATCTCACGATCCACAATGAATTCAATAATCATATATATATCTCTGATTCTTCTCAAGTTGGACTACTACGCATCAGTATTTTGTTCATTGAGAGTAATTTTAATCCATAACTGATTCTGAAGCTTCATTTCTGCAGTTTATAGGCGTCAGTATTTAGCTTTTCTCGAGCACTGTTATAACGCATTATCTATTATTCTTCTTAGATTTAAGTAATGAGCGTCCGTATTTAGGTAATTATGAGTACAGGTATACCGTGCCTGTTGTTTATCTTGCAGTTCTTTAACATCAGTATTATATTGCAGTTGCAAGACTGTGTTATGTTCGCGGCTTAGGAAGCAGGTCGAGGACAAGGACATACCATGCAGGCATTCCTGCGAACACGCCGACTATCCTGACTTCCCGGGATGAAGGATGTGTGGCATTTTCAAAGAATGACAGATGATGATTATTATTTATGTTACCCGCTTCCGTTTATTTTTTTATCGTTACTAGAGTTACGGATTTTTTCAGTGGAAATTATCAGTGAATAATTCAGCTTGTTTATTGAACTGAGAATTAAATTAGACGGGCACGACTTCATTTAAATTTTAACAGCTCATGAAGCCGGCGATTCAGCGCATTTAACAGTCATCAGAATATAATAAGATATATAAATCAAAATTGAAAATTTGTTAATTTTCATTCTAGACACTCAATACAATTTCAATATAAACGTCTGTACTTCTCTTTCGGGCAGCTCCTTAGCTTGCGAAGTCCTTACCATGCAAGATTACGAGTACACCAGCGTTTACACTATCAAGATTATTGGTGACCCACACTCACCTTGAGTTCCTTCACTTAATCGGTCAGAGAGATTTCAGCCAAAGAGAGAGGAGAGGATGTTCAACGCTATCAATAAAATTCAAATTGATACAGATTCAAGAACGAACAGATGACAGTAGTTTTCAACAGTACAGTCGCTCTAGCCCTGCAGCCTCGCAATGTATCACACGACGGGAGCAGTCAGGCAATAAGTACCTACCTAGCTAGCCGCGCTGCTGCTCAAGAGCACGCCACTTGCTGATAGTCGCTGGTTCCCAGCGCGTCAACGCAAGTTGGCGAGGAAAAAAGATTTCGTCCAAAGTTTAATGGGGGGGGGTATGTGCTCCCTAGCGATACACAACAACCGATAAAAAGATAGTCAGTCTTATTTTCCTGTTTGTGTTTAGATAAAACGATACTTATGAATATAGATGGGAGTGACTTACCTAATCAAACCTAATTTTTAGCCCACTGGAGAACTTATTGCTGATTTATATAGAACTGAAAAACGAGAAACATGCTTTTATCACTCATTTACGATATCTGGTCGTTTTTCAAAACTTCCTACAAGAAGAAAACGATGAGAAATTTTGAACGTTCAAGCAAAAAATTAAAAGCTTGAATGAGCCGAACTAATAATAAAGTTCACAATATTAAGGATACGCGGACATTTCTAGCTGAACGCCGGCGTCTTAAAGGAGCAGGGATGCATGCAGGGTGCTGCTGGCTCCAGAGGAGGTCCAGGGTTCTGGAACGGATGCTGCCAAGGACTCGGCGAGCGAACGCACGTCGAGAAGTTGCGTTCATCCAAAAGGGAAGCCTGCGTGATACTCTTATATACATATCGATGTAAAGTGTATCCTATTTACTTGTATCATGTACTTATTTCCATCAAAATTTCTGTATTCAATGCTTCCTGTAACTTGAAAATGAATGTTGTTACATTCGAAACGTCGTTAATAAAGTGATATTACTCCCTTGAACCTGCAATTTGATCAACTAATGTCATCTGAAGAATATTGTTTGGCCCTGAAAATTTAAATTGAAGAATTCTCTGGCCATTAACCACACGTGTTGAAACAAGCTGATTCTGCCTTCTGATACTAACTTATATACATATACAGACCAGTCAACAGTCACGTACCAGCGACCAGCACTTCATTAAATAAGTCCAGGCTAGCGGTTGTATTGTTAGATAAGCATTCGCAATTTAAATATTTATGCAACAGTTTTGGCGATGTAGATTCTAGAACAACAATGATATATTATAGACACAGTGGTTGTTCAAGTAAAATCGCAATCAATTGGAGATGAATTTTTTATGGAATATTAGCACAGTAAATTTATGACAAAGTCTAAACCCTGAATACATCATCGTAGCGAGGACAATGGAGTTAAAATAAAATTTTATTTTAGATCCACCTGTGAGATTTTCTGGCACTACAGGTATCGCAGATACATGCTCGAGTAGTCCTCATATATTTCCATTGACAGGCTTCAAACAAACAACGCAAAAACGCACAACCTCCCTCTGAAATGCAAAATAAATACATATTGTGGTTCTACTGACAATAACTCAAGCACTTGCCCGAATTAAATGTGAAATAATTTCGTTTAACAAAGATGGAACAGAGAAATAATCACACGTGGATGAATTTGGAACCCTGCAGTTTTAACGACAAAAATCAGCATTGTGTTCTGCTTACTTACAAAAAATGGCACAACGCCGCTACATAAAGAGCATGCTATTCATACCTTAATATCCCCTCGCTGATAAAAAAAACAGTTGATGACACAAATGAACATCTCGGAGGATGCAGCAAATTATCAGTAATTATAAAAAATAATTCAAGAAATTACAATTTGGGAGACGCCTGCATTTCTTCTTAAACGGTTTAATGGTACCCCATTTCACTAGCTTAATTGCACAAACAATTTCAGGGACAAATAAAAACTATTCTTAGTTTGCCTTCCTACTTTTCAACTGTGATGGGAACAATCAGGCCTTACATAAGCCCCATCCTGCGGTGCTCTATACTTGAGTTGATCTCATTTTTGCCTCGGCAACCCCAACGCTGAGCAGCAGCCGGTGCTCAGCCGTATTGACCTGTTTGCCGCGGCAGCCCCAACGCTAAGCAGCAGCAGGTGCTCAGCCGTATTGACCTGTTTGCCGCCGCAGCCCCAACGCTGAGCAGCAGCAGGTGCTCAGCCGTATTGACCTGCTTGCCGCCGCAGCCCCAACGTTGAGCAGCAACAGGTGCTCAGCCGTATTGACCTGCTTGCCGCCGCAGCCCCAACGCTGAGCAGCAGCAGGTGCTCAGCCGTCTTGACCTGTTTGCCGCGGCAGGCCCGACGCTGAGCAGCAGCAGGTGCTCAGCCGTCTTGACCTGTTTCGTTTGCACGAGGTTGAGGACCGCGTGAGAGACACCCATGTGCGCGGCACCGATTGCCCTCAAGTATAGCACGAAAGAGAACGTTCGGCAAGATATGTCTCGCTATTTCTCTACATGCTTACGAATAATTCGACAAGATAGACTACTAATTTTCGTTATTTGCAGCGTACACTGTGTAACGTTTTTGTGATAAGGAAATAGAATAATTTGTATTTTTCTAGCCTTACCGAAAAAAGATTTTAGCCTTACCGAAGAAACAGCTTGAAAAAAATGAAGGCCGGTATTGAAGTAGCAACTGAAATGGATATTTGAGTGCAAGATACTTCTGTGTACCTAAGCTTGGTTTGTCAGCGTACCGTGTAAATATTTTTAGCGAACCTTTTGTTAGCTTAGTTTTAATAGTCTATTTTTTTATGCGCTCCTATGATTTACTTGTTAATCCGACCTTTTGAGTGTGTAGATAGTCGACAACGTATCAATAGTTTCATGTTAGCTCAGTTCGTAGCCCGCGTCAAAACTGCCCACAATATTTCGGTGCGTAGATTTATGCCTTCCTACAAGTTGTTTATTGTTCTGATTATTATTTGTTATATTTGAATATTATAAGCATACAATGAAGTTCATAGGGCTAATATATTTGTTTGTTCTTACAGATACAAGTTTTTAATCCAATAAACGGGATATTTGTTGTTGAAACCGTGGTTATCCTTGAAAACGCGGACTTACGTCAAACCAAAACCCAACAAAAACGAACAGCGTTTTTACATACCGTTTATACGAAACTCTGAATCGTGGTCGGAACAGCGCATGCGCGAGTCGCAGAACATTATACACATAGAGCGCTGAATATGCGCACTGAAGCTCGCATCACGCTGCAATTACCGAGATGGAAAGTGAAGCAGGAAGCAGAGCGGCAAAAGTGTTTGACACGACTATCCCTTTCATTACAATCTTCATTATATTGCGAAGTATATCTTACGAGAGGGCGTTATCTGGCTCGCGCAACTTGATTAACAAAATAATAATAATATTAAATCGACAGTCAACTGTCGACAGAAAATTATTAGTTAGATAAATCTATTTTACAGAGTAAAGCTGCAGATGAAATTGTAGGTTATATGATGAACTGGCGGATCAAAGCTATTTCTGAGGAATGAAGCTGCAGCATATATATAAGCAGTCACCTGCATCCTTAACAAAGTGCCGCACACAACGGAGAATATGATGCTAAAACGAACCGTGACAATTATAATTTTTTGACTATTTTGCACTTGAAATGAAATTGAAAATGTAAATGCCAATTTAAATGAAAATGCACTTGAAAATGTACTTTGAATTCGTACTTCAAATTATTTAAACGAAGTAGATGTGGCTCAATAACAGATTAAAATCAACGATGATCTAAATTTAGGAATGAGGGTAGATTTATCTAGATTCCAGGAACACGGATATTTTTAAAAAGACGAGAATTAAAAATGCATACATTTTTACCGTTCCATTGATCTTTTAGGGTCGGAATTACAGAAATGATGGAAATCCAAACTGCGGGTCGATTACTAGAAATTTATTTATTTTTCACACAAATCGCTCGTGATAAACTTCATTACATGCGCATATATTCAGGAGGAACGTTTTAGTTAGTACACAAACTTGGAGAGCAGGCATCGGCCAATCCAGGAACCTTCATAATACCACGTGATACGAGTAGTACACTCATTTTCATCGCCCCGCATGTTTATATATAAAACCGTGGATTATCACAACATAACATTATATTAAGATATTTTGTGAATATACGCTCAGATTAAACCTGATAGGAAATAAAAATTTTTACGACCAATTAATAGAAAGAAGCATAACGAAGTAATACTAACCCTGGCGTCTTATTACTATATTTCTAAGGATTTACTTTTGTATTTTTAAGTGCTCAGATGTTCAGTTTTGCACCAGGGCGTAAATTTGTGCGAACCGCATTGACTTTCAGTCCCCAGTTTGAGCAGCAGCGTGCAAACCATAATAAAGTCGTGCAAAAATAATTCCCACACGAGAAACCGTGCCGAACACCAACAGATGGTTTGTGAACTCATGTGCGAATAGAAAGCCCATATATCTCGAACGCGTCAATTCGTTCATGCCAAACGTAGGGGAAACGAATTAGAAAATATTTATGGTTGATTGAACTGAACACTATTTTGCTGGTACAAGCAGAACTTCGCAATTCTCTTCTAGACAAACTAGTACACATAAAAGACTGAGCAACTGAAAAGTTTAAAGAGCCCCATAAATTCTCAGATAAGCGGCACATTTTCTCTTGTTATTCAGTTGTGGTGGTCGCATAAACACATTCCTTTCTTTCAAGTGGACGCACCGCATCCGATGTTCTCTAGGTAATTATTCGAGGCTTTTAGATAACAAAACTACATATGCTCTTCACGTCATCGAATGATGTAATTATTCAAGACCAATAATTAATTTTTCGTTTGGGAACAAAATGAGTGACCATGATCTTGCATGCGATGAAAACGATCTCTTTTAATACGAAATAGCTTTAGGTTGAGAAAATTCTCAATCCTTAAGAACTTTATGCAGAAAATATACTTGAATCTCTTTGCTCGAACAACTCGCTTTGTTCGGATTGCTCGGTAAGGTTTCAACCTTTTGCAAAGTGCCTGCAAAAAGCACAGTTCGCGCACAACAGTTCGCGCAGACGAAGAAGACCTTGCCACTCCCTAGAAGTCAAGATTGAAGCATGGTTTGAAGCTCACCGATCAGCTCGTCACGGGGAAGCTCTAAGAAATTA